AGGAAAGGGGGGGCAAGCGATGGGATGGGTGAGGTGGGGCCACCATGCGGTTTGGGGGCTGTGAACTGCTTGGTTCAGGGGTCTGGACTTGATGCCGTGGGCAGGGCAACGCCTGAGCGGAAGGGGGGTTTGGAGAAGCCAGCCCCTGATGCCTGGGTACCCCCGGTCTCTCTCCTTCCAGCACTGGCCACCAAACAGACCTACGTCACCTACACCAACCATGCAATCTAGCTAGGCCGCCAGAGCCGAACAAGAGGAGGATCCAAGACCCTTGTGGCTGATGCGTCGGGCCAGGGCCACTCCCAGGGGCCCAGCTGATGTCTTGCCTGCCCGTGGGCGCCCACGGACGTGGCTTGGTGCTGAGGACAGCAGAGCCCCCGGCGGTCACTGCTGGGCAGCCTGGGCAAGCCGGGCAGGTGACAGGAGGAGGACAAGGGGCTGGGGAAGCTTCAGGCCACCCCAAGAGCCTGCATCTTGGACCATGGCCCCTCCTGGCCCCAAATCACAGGGGCCCAGGCTGTGTGGGCCCCAGTGTTGGTTTTCTCTCTCTCCCTTCGTCTCTGCCTGTCCCACTGGTGACCGTCCGAGTCTGTCTCCATCCCTGTCTTTATTTTATCACTGCCTTTTCTCTGTGTCTTCACCTGTGTGCTCTACTCTTCTTTCTTTCTGCCTCTGCCTCCTCTCCCTGATGCATTCTCTGTCTCCAGGTCTCTCCAGTTTTTTCTCTTGTGCTCCACCCAGGTCTCGTGCATTTTTCTTCCCTGTCCTCGCCCCCTCCTCACCTTCATCGCATCCCGCCTTTGCTCTCTCCCCGTCACCACCTCCCAATTCACCAAACCGTACGTGTCGCAAAAGAGAAAAAGCTCAAAAAAATTCCAAACACAAAAAAGCCAAAACAAAAACGAATCTCGCGTGTGTTGCAAAGTGCCGCGTCCTCCTGGTGGCCTCTGTGTGTGTCCCTGTGGCCCGCAGCCTGCCCGCCTGCCCCCTCCCGTCTGCTGTGTGTCCTGCCCGCCTGCCCGCCTGCCCGTCCTGCTGATGACACGGAGTTCAGTGCCTGGGTGTTTGGTGATGGTTATTGATGACAATGTGTAGCGCATGATTGTTTTTATACCAAGAACATTTCTAATAAAAATAAACACATGGTTTTGCACCCTGGCTCCACATCCACTGGGGGCCCTGCAGGGGGACCCCAGTCTCAACCTGCAGCCGGAGAGCCTGGAATTAGAGGCAAGGAGCAAGTGGGTCATGGACCCTAGGGCTTGCGGGCGATGGAGGCTGCCTCCGGGGCTGGCATCGAGTGGGAACACGGAGAGGCCTTGGGCAGGGAGGGACCAGGGCTTTGCAGCACATTCCAGAAATCAGCATCTGGTGGTCCCCTAAGGGGGATGTTCTATTCCTGTCCCTGGCCCTGCAGCCCCTAAGGAAGGTACCGTTTTGGCCCTCCCTCTCCTCTCACAGTCCTTACACCTGGGCCTCCGATCCCCGCCCCGTAACGAGCTTCTTCTTCTCCTCCATCTAGCCCGGAAACTCTCCTCTTGAGAAATTGGCTTCCAGGGCTCCCAGCACCCACAGCCCTGCCCTCCTGCCTGTCCTGTCTCCAGGTGACAGGTGCTAGGATGATGTGTGTCTCTGTCCTAGAGATTGGAGTGTGGCGTGTGTCCGCGTGGGCCAGGTGTGTGGCACAGGTATGTGCGTGTGGCTCCCCCAGCCCTGTGTGTGTGTCTGTTTTGGCTGCACGTCTGTGTGTGCTCTTGGTACCTCCATATGCATGCTTGTCTGTCTAGTGTGTCTGTTTGGGCCCAAGTGGGGGTAAAACCACATTGCACCCACATCGTGACGATGCTTGTCCTTGGCCAGCGGCAAGTGTGCAAGTGTGTGTTCACAGCAGCTGGCTTCGTTGGCAGGCTGGGCGGGAGGGAGCGGGAAGCAGCTTAGGGGCTGGGCCCTGCCGGGGGTAAATTACAGAGCCAGCGACACAATGAGGCCACAGCGGCAGCTGAAGCCCAGGCTTCCTGTGCCGCCCCTTTCTGGCCCGCCCCAGGCCCCACACCCCCTCCTACCTCCTTGGCTGGCTGAAGTGTGGGGCGCGAGGGCCCCCAGTGGGGGCCAGGCAGGGACCGGGTGTGTAGAGGTGAGGCTGGTGCATTAAATGGTGCCCTGGGCAGTGCCCCCTATGTAAGCCCGTCTAACTCCTTCGGGAGGGCTGGTGTCACGCCCACCTCTGCTCAGGCAATCTGTTCCCTTGGAGGGCCTGGGAGAGAGAGAGAGAGAGAGAGTGTGTGTGTGTGTGTGTGTGTGTGTGTGTAGAGCACCTACTTTATGCTCGGTATTTGTAAGGAAAGGAAGGGCTTTGTCTTGCTTTTGCAGGATGGTTCCTGCGCCCCAGAATAGATTCTACCCAGTGCTCTAGCCTAATCAGGCAAAACTAGGTGGTCAGACCAAGGGTGTTTGCCAGAAGCTCCCAGGGCGGGGTGTGTGAGCGCGTGCCTGTGGTGGGGGGCGGTTTGGATGAAGGGGAGTGCAGCCAGTCCTCCAATGACATCTCCAGCCCGGGCACCTTGTCCCCTCTCTGGTCTGTTTCCCTCCCAAGGCGATTGCGGTGTTGAGGCCCAAGGCTAGGCGGAGGATTTGATGCTCAGCACAGGCCTTTCCCAGGTGCCCTCCCCACATCTGTGGAGCCCCCCATATCTGTGGAGCCCTTCTAGGTTCCACTGGGGAGAATCAACTTCTTTCCGAGTGGGGTGCTGCCCGCTCTGCTCCCCTCAGTGCCCAGAGCCAGGGGTGGGCTCTTGGTGGGCCTTAGACCCATCAGGCATTCCTGAGACTTGGCCTAGTCCAGCCTGACTAGGACTCTGTGAAGGGGCAGGTGGAAAGGAGGCACCCAGGCCCCGGCCTCAGGGGGGTGCCAGTCAGATGGAGGAGACATAGCCCCACCTTCAGGGACTGCCCTGAGGGGCGAAACACAGCCTGTCCCTCAGGGAGCTTCCCGTCTGATGGGGAAGATCTAGGCCTCAGCATTTCTACAGCCTAGAAATGCCGAATATCCCAAAGGAACATAGTTATAGGAATAGGGTGGGGTAGCTAGGGGAAGCCTTGGGTGGGGTGTGAATTCCAAGGAGCCGTGTCCGGGAAATGGAGAAGTGTGCGGCTCCATGGGTCAGGGGTGGAGAGGAGGGACTAGTCTCTCCAGCACTTCCGGGAGGCAGACCCGGCGCAGGGGTGTGGGAGGGTGGGTGCCACGCATCACCTGGAAGGCACAGCAGGTGAAGCCGGGCCTGGGATCCCACAGGTGGGCCCCACTGGGATGTGCTCTGATGCACCGGTGGGAAAGCCCCGTGGCTGCTCACCTTTGCTCCCTCTGCCATGCTGTTAATTCCCCGGGCTCATGTGGGACACCCAAGAGAGGCAGACAGATGAGCAGTGCCTTTGGAATTTTATACTTCAAAAAGATGGGGGCTGGCTTTGCAGTGCCCCTGGTTCCCTGGAGAGAGGGATGGTGGCCCCCAGAGACCTTTGCTCGGTAAGCAGGGTGATGGGGTGTCCACAAGCTCCCAGGGAGAGGCCCAGAGGCCCCAGGGCTGCAGCCTCCTCCTTTGTGGGTGGGGCCGGTGACAATACATTTTACAATCTCCCCAGGTGTCTGCGATGCAGCCCAGTGGGCCAGGGAACTCGGTGGTTTTCAAGCTGTTCCAATGGCAGAACCTTTCCTTTAAATCAGCAGCAGCATCCCCGGGAACTTGTTAGAAAAACAAATTATGGGCCCCACCCAGACTTGGTTCTTTACGCATCCAATCCACAGGTATTAAGTACCTACTACGGGCCAGGCTGAGGGTGTGAAGTAATGAACGAGGTGGATGTGGCACTGGACTTTGGGGTTCTGCAGACAAGAGGGAACAACGCCCACTCGAGAGCTCGTGGAGGCCCAAAGCCAAGGCTAGGCTACTACTAGCCCGGGGCAGAAGCCCACCAAGCTACCAAGCCAGCGGGGCACACAGGACACCTTTGTGGAACTCCTAGGTCCCTGGGGACTCAGCCTCAGAGGCAGTATACAAGCTTGGGTCCCTTCCAGCTCAGATGCGAAGTTCCAGTGTTTCCTAGTCTGTTTCTCCTGTCCTGCCTTCTCAGGCCCTGGTGGCAGAGGCAAAAAGGACCAGGAATTGGCCTGTGAACACCATGCCAGGTGCCCCCACACCATCTCAGCCTCCAGGCCCAGGGAGGGGTCCTCGGGAGCCCACAGAAAGATGCTGACCTTTCAGGAGGCCACGTGGCTCCTCTGTGGCCAGAGGACAGGCCACAGGCCCTTTGTTTTAGAGGCTCTTACTAAGGCCTGCAGCTTCCTCCTCCCAGCCTGGGGTTTCCATCTGCCCACTCAACAGCGAGGGGAGACTGAGGCACTCTCCCTGACATCTGAGCTTCTCTCTGCCCCCACCGCCTGCCCTGCACTGCCCTGGGTGCCCAGCAGAGCTTGGCCCTGGCACTCGGAGCCTCCTAGGGCTTGGACCTCCCTGAAGACAGCCTGGCACTGAATGGCACATGGTGCCCAAATCTCACTTCAGTTGGCAAAAGCAGCAATTAGCATTTAATGAGGCTTCTTGCTTTATTTTTAGGTAACCTCCAAGGCCCTGCCTGTGTAATTCAGCCCGCCATTGCTCGGCAGATAATTAAAGCATGTCACCATAATTTGCCTTTTTTTTTTTTTTTATAAAGCCCATAATTATGTTTTTATTGCAAGGGGGGGGGGAGAGAGGAGGGAAAGAAAACAAAGAGGTGAAATTGGGGCAGGAAATGGGGCTTGGCTCCCTTAGCCAGGCTCCTCTACCCCATCAGCTGACCCAGGAGCCCCCATCCTGGCTGTGGCTCCCCAGGGCTCCCTCAGCTTCAGGGTCTGCCCTGGGCACTCCCTGCCCAAGAATGCCTCCTTGTTGGCTTGCCTTATTGGAACTTCTGGAGAGCCCTCCTCTTCCAGGTTGGGGTGGGAGGGCCTTCCTGCTCTTCCCTTTCCTTATAAAACCAGTCCCAGTTTGCTGTTCCAGTGGGCAGGAAGGGGGTCGGGTGAAAACCCGAGTAGCCTCGAGTTGCTGTTTCTTGAGCTGCACACAGGCACCTGGGAGTTTCTTTATACTACTCTCCACTCACACGTTTGAAGATTTCCACAGGAAGTGGAATAAAACCCCCCTCCCAGGGAGGGGTCTGCTAACAGAGCCTGACATCTGGAATCCGCTTCCAGG